AGTAAAATTTGAATTTTCATCATATCTCCACGTTTCATGGTATTTGCAAGCATACTGACAAATATTTACAATGATATGTGTGTACGTACATATGTATGAACGTCAGCATTTTTTTCGGCAGCATAGATGTTCCTGTCCTTTAAGATATGTCGCGTAACACGGGGGCAGATTATAGTTCGTCGTGCCCCGTTTCCGTACTGCCCTATATGGTAGTTTGAATGTAGGCACTTCGAACACGCCGAGCGCGAGACGCGTTAGCGACCGCCGACCAAAGCGGATAAAGTTGGTGCTACGGGAGGCCAAATTCCAAGCCCTGTGCCTGGGGCTGCAATGTCAAAATATGACATGTAGGCCTAAGTACAACTGGCCACTCGTAGTGGTATGTTGTGAGGCTTCGGGCTTGTTATGTGTATGGACGGGGGAAGCAAGGGTATATTGTAGAAAAATCTTGGCCATCAGAGAGAGAGAGGTTTGCGTCAAACGGCATTTAGGTAAGACTGACATAGAAAAGGCTAGAAATTAAATTGCGTATCACGATAAATACTCGACGAATGCTGATTTATGATTTAAATGAAATCTAACAGTCATTATTAATTGTATGTTGGAAATTAACGCGTAAGTTTGATTCGTTATCGAGATATTTACAATTAAACGTTGCGTCGTAACGTCACTCGCGAACTTTTCAGCATAGAGGAACGTGTCACTTAATAATGTAAATGTAAGCCTAAAGAGCGCGTTAGTTTGACAAGAGGCAACAGTTAGATGGACGAAAAGTGCCGGTGTCGTGGCACCGAGTAGCTACCGCTACTCTAGATAAGAATAATAATAATAATTCAGATAAAAGTAATTTCCGCAGTTTCAGGTGATAAATTTGATTCTGATTTTATCGAGACTGAAGAAATCAAGATTTTCGATTTCGATAAGTAAGGTTAATCTAGAGGCTGTTTTCGGTAAAATTCATGTTGTTATAAACAATGCGTGATTGTTAAGAGTCATAACCCATCTATAATAATATTATTTTCTTGAAAGCATCAAAATCCATGTGATGAACACATTACTTATTCGATACATACAATTTTCAACTGTTTATAACAAATTCATATTGTTTTAAACAGTGTATAATTTTAACGAGTCATATTTCATTGTTCATAATATAATTTTTTTTAGGTATCGAAATCCATGTCATATACGCAATACGTAATCGATGAACACAATTTTTAATTGTTTATAACAAATTCGTATTGTTATAAACTATGAATGCTTGATAAAAGTTATATTTATTTGCAAACAATCATGTCTACTCAGTATCGACTCGATTTTCAAATAAAAATGTTATTGTTTGACTTAAAAGTATTTTCGATGTTTTCGAATTGTTCTACATGCAAAAAATGTTTAGAACCATGAAATTGCGCCAAGTCTGACTTGCCATAATCGCAGAAGCATCAAATTGTCTATCAATCGTTCCATGAAGAATCGCACAAGTGTGCTGAGCAAAATAGCTTTTTTTGTTAATTTATTGGAAAATAGATTTGAAAAAAATGTTTTAATGATTCTAATCTTATGTTATTTATAATTCAAAGTGGAGAGATGGCGAGATGTGAGAAAACAAGGAAAAACCCGTAGCATGAAAATTGTATAAATCGTGAGAACTGAAGTCAATTACCCATCAGTTGCGTTTCAATCGTGAACTAAATAAAACCAATGACACCTAACTTTTAAAGTTATCTATATGCAGTTATCCTATATGTCTTGATTTTTGAAAAATTAGTGTTGTTGAGAAAATCTCAACTTTTAAATTAACCTAACCGTGTAAGGATAGGGATGATTGTGCCGGAACAGAGCAAACGGAAGTTAGGTTTTATGAAAAATATAGAATCTTTATTTTCAGTACTAACAGATACACAACATACACTGAATGACCGTTTGTCACTGAATACAAGAAATGAATGTCTTTAGAAATCACTAAATGTCAGTTGTAATTACTGAATGTGAATTGAATGTCTAAAAAATACTCAACTTGGTGTGTTCAGTATTATTGACCTCCCACACGAGCTCAGCACGCTTCTCAAGTTGAGCAAGAATATGATTCTGCACGTGGCGTTAGCCTATCAATGCAATGCAAAATGAATTTAATGTAATTTCGTCAATTTACTATGAAATGTCTTGAACTGTTAGGTGATTTTGATTGTAGAATGAAAATTGAATATTTCTGGTGATTCAGAATAGCACTAGCACTAATGATTGACTCAAAACTTTAAGATTGTCTGACAAGAATGTGAATGGCGTGTACACGTGAATGAGAACAGAGAAAGAATGGCGACAGGAACTTCATTAGTCAAAAGGGACACAGAAAATTAGTCAAATGATGGACTTAATTAAGAATTATTGATTATTTGGTCGATTGGTTATCGACCGAGTCCCAAGATGGCCGCCGAAGTTTCTGTCACCTGGCAAATTCAAACTGAGAATTAATTAATTCTCAACAACTGTCATATTCGTCAATCGAAAGATTGTTATATACGTATAGCTGGAAAATAGGTATTTGATCATGTCGTGGACTTGGAACCATCTGGATATTCTTAAAAATTTCTTAAAAAAGAAGGATGATATTTAGGGCTTATTTAATCCAGCTGTGGGAACTACACTGCTTTTGATATAAGTCAATCAACTAGAGAGTTCGATGTTGAGGAAAAATTACATGAATCTCCGGCGTATGCTGCAAAAAAATTGTAATACAGTTGAACAATTCAATTATTGAAAAAAACTTGAAGAATTTAAGTCTTCAATAAAACATTAAAATACTCGAGGATCAAAAAATAGATCCTTCGCTCATAAAAGGTTATGGTGCGTTGGCAGCCTACATCGATGCACATCCTGAAATGCTTCTTGATGAGGATATAGCATCTCGATTCAATGAGGATGAAATAAAATCATGGCTCATTGAATGATGCTATGGATGTGAGCTAAAAGAATGCTACATAACAGAATTATGGTCATTACGTTTGAAACATCATTACAAATGCAGATTCACATAGAATTCAGAAACATCACCAACTAACAATGTGTGCATACTAGAATCTGAAGATGATCACATAGATTTTAATCATAAGAAAGGCAATATTGGAGCTCTGAGGATAAGTAAATGTAGGATAGACGATATGTTTACGATAGAAAATTGGGAAGGATTTTTAAATAGTTCTCACGGGGTCACAGCGGAAAAAATAATTGCACAAAAAATTGATCCCGAAGCGGCTAAAACTGTGCCTAACATTCTTCAAGATGATGCAATCAAATGTTTGGATCGAGAGAATATACTTAATAAGTACATGGATGAGCATCCCAAAGTTCTTCTTGATGAGGATATAAGAAGTCGCTGTAAGTCTAACGGCGTAAAACCTCATTGGTTTGCTGGAATCATGTACATTTAAGATTAAAAAATATGTTATCTATTTTATCTGTGTCAAATGTTTCCTCTAATAAACTACAAGTCTCACAATTTGTGAATTATTTTTTTTAAATAAATAAATGAGCAATTTTGAAAATATATTATTAGAACGCAACTGTGTTGTTTTAACCTCCAAAAAGTTTCATATCTCTAATGAGTGATAATTAAAAACGAATTTCATGGGATACTTATGTTATTCATGGGATTAATTAGAAATGTGAAGAAATTCCATATAATCATCTGAAAAAAGTCATAACGAATGCATAACAAAATGCTACATATATTTATATTGCTGATGGTTTACTAAAAGATTTTTCCCTGAAATTTTAATCATTAAATCAAATAATTTGTATTAAAAAAAAAAGCAATAATAAATTATATGAACGATGAAAATTTATCCTCTTATTAATATCTTATGGTTCTCAATACATAATTATATAGAAGGAATAGAAGTAAATATAGCTTTTTTCCATAAATGATAAAATATAAGTATGGTTACATAGATATTTTTTTCAATCTTTAACAAATGTTGAAATGAATTATGGAGTGTACAATACTTATTATTCATATAAAATTCTTCGATGTCGATTGATGAATTGAATGGTTACAGACATTTTTTCTGAAGGTTAACTGTAACAAAAAAATAGGAAAACACCCGAGTCATTCAACAATAAATTATCAAATACAAGACAAAAGAAATTTTAAATACTTACGTGTGATCACAAAACAGGAACATATTCGTAGAAAAATTCAAATGAAATACATTCATTCTCATAATATTCTATATATCAATAATGAATTGCACATGCTCTTTGAAAATCAAGGAATTGGTTTTTATCGTATGCCTCTAATACATTGACAATTCTCTTCAAAGAAATAACCTTAAACTCATCGTCTAGAGTTGCTACAGCAGTACAGTGCACTTTTCTTATAAGACTCTCTCGGGGCTGTAGGAGATAAAAATTCGTGGAATAGGTGTTCCCCCACTACTGACGGGTCGATGCTCAACTGAATTGAGTTTCAATTCTTTTTATAAGACTCAAATATAAACGGTCATCAAAACATACTTAGTGTTATATTCGCTACACTTTCTAACAAAGAAGAAAAATCTATCGATATCAATAGTCGAATTAAAGTACAATATTTTGATAATTGCATATTTATTGTCTAATTATTTATTTTTCATAATTGGATTAAAGTTTTTTCAAGCTTATTTAATTGATACTTCGTAATATATTGAAACTGGTTACTTAATTTGTATAATTTTAGTGTTTATTATTTATTTATTTATAATTTATTGACTCAAAGTGATAAGTTGATTTATGTAATTTTTTATGTTCAATAATTATGTCTTTATAGAAAAAAATGGATAGTTAACATTCTTAGAAAACGAAAAGCTCGAAGGAGCAAATCACTCGAAACTGTTCCAACTGGTACTCAGAGTAAAAATGAAGATTTTCACAAAAAAGAATCACTAAAAAAATTTTAAAAAAACAGTTATTCTTTTGAAGAAAAAGCAAATATTTTCAAAATGTTAAGCACTGATAACATCAATATGGTCTCACAAACATACTCTGTTGATGTTGGACTTTTGAATAAATGGAAAAGAAATCGAGCTACATTACAAAAGTTGACTGAAAAATCAGATCTAAAAAATGAAAAGAAAAACAGATCAGTTAACAACGATTCAGATGATGCACTCTACAATTGGAGAATAAGGGCACGTAGTGTAGAAATATGTATTTCAGGTCCGATTTTATGTGCTGAAGCTTTAGCTTTCAATAAAGAAATTGGTGGAAATAATAAATTCAAAGCAAGTTCTGGTTAGTTAGAAGGCCGGAAAGATCGTAAAAATGTGAGATGGGTTAGAATTTCTGGTGAAAAAAAATCAGCAGATATTGAAGGAGCTAGACAATACAAAGATACATTTTCAAAATTGATTCGATCAAAAGGTTTGAATCGTCAACAAGTTTTTAATTCTGATGAAACAGGCCTCGTTTATAAAGATATGCCAGAAAAAACAATTGCAAGTAATAATGAAGTTCAAGTCTCAGGCTCCAAAAAAAAAAAAGAAAAAGTTAGTGTTCGATTTTGTTATAATGCCAATGGATCTATGAAGATGCTATTACTCGTTATAGGAAAGTCTAAAAATCCACGCAAGCTGAAGAGTCTACAAAAATCGAAACTTCCTGTTATATACGATCATCAAAATAATGCATGGATGGACAAGCGAATATTTCGAGATTAGGTTAAAGATAAATTCATTTCTGAAGTTAGTGCTCTCTTCAAAAGTAAAAATTTACCTTCAAAAACTTTATTACTCGTCGATAACTTTTCCGGTCACGAATTTATACGTGTGGGTGAAATAGAAGTAGCTTTTTAGCCTTCCAATGTTACTTCTATTTTACAACTACTTGACCAAGGAATAATAGAAATGACCAAACGTCATTATAAATCTAAATTCGCTTTTTCATTTGTGCAAGCAAAAGGGATCTCAGTTAAGCAATAGTTGAAAAATATTTCTATCATAGATGTCATTTATTGGATTAGTGAAGCTAATCATTGGAATGTAGTACCTTCGTCTACCATTTATAGATGCTGGAATAAATTGTGGCCAGTTGAAACCAAAGATATGGCAACTCAGGCTGAATACAGAAAATGATAGTATGATCACTCAGCTAGATATGATTGTTGTTGGTGAATCATATAATTCTTTGACAACTGAATGTGAAGAAGCAAGGGTTTATGATATTATACAACTTTTAAAGTATTTCGAAGAATATGAAATGGTTGATGAGCGCTGTACTCAATCATCCACCAAACGAAGACAATTCTCTTTGTTGGTCTAGTCATGATTCAAATAATGTATTAATTTCTCAGCCATTATGTAGTGCATTTAACGTTTCATATAATTCTTAATAAGTTTTATGTAATCTGGATTATATGTTATCAAATTGTTATGATTAAAGTTGACAGTAAATCAATAAAAATAAAAGAAAAGATAAAAGTTGCTTTAATTTTTGTTTGAGTCTTATATAAAGAATAGGGATTCAAATTGGCTGAGGGGTTAGAGGATGTTATAGTGTAGGAATAGTGTCGAGCTCCGAAGCAGATCTGGTCTTAGAAAAAGTAGTCTTATAAGAAGAGTGCACTGTATCGCCAAGCTTGGTTGCAATCAAATTGAAATCTGCCACTTCATATCTTTTTGATGATTCTAGCTCCTCTATTTTTTTTCCTGCGATTTTCTTTGCTGAGTTGTTAAATTCTAATAGATCTATTATTATTCACAAAAAATAATATAATCTGCCGCTTGCAAAGATTATAAAGTATTAAACACGTTCTCGTTTGAGAATGATTTGTTATCGAAAAAGTTTTAGCTTTTATAGCACTTTCCACCCGAATATTATCCCTACTATTTTAAAAATTGACAGTTCCTTCACCAACAGATTTTTATTTTCCTTCACCCTTTACATTTGGAAGAGCGTTGATGCACTTTTTAATGATTTTCCAGCCAATGCATCAGCTCTTCTCCTTTCTTTCACATTTAGGAGGGAGGGGGAGAGAGTGTTTACATCTGCGAGGTCATTGGCATGCTATTCTTATAAGAAATGTTTGTGGAATGCATCTTTCAAACATTTTCTACTATTTTGACAAGTATTCTAATACTCAAGTCGCCAAATAGATTTTCCTATATTTAAACGGGGAGTAAACAAAGACAAAAAAAATCCTATTTATTTGGTATGCTGCTCAATGTTCACTGAGTTGAAATAAGCAAACATACGATGGATTTGAAACGTATTAATAAACGTGATGATCTTGTATTATCTAAACTAGAAAGAGTTTGTAATTAGCGAAAGTCAGGAGCAGTGTGATAGAGAAGGCGTCAGAAAATGGGGCGAGTTGACTCATTAATTTTCAATCTTGCATGAGAATAATTAAAAATATCAATCACTACCATTATCTCAAAAGCATAAACTTTCAAATATTTTTGCGAGAGTTAACGTTATGATGAGAAGATTTGTGAATGTAATACCCCAATATCCCCGAGAATTGTAATACGCTTGATTAGTTGACTGAGTTACATGTTGAACTCAATTTAACTGAAGAATATCATGATTTTATCCGTATTTTCAATGATCTTGAAATAAAACTTATGAACGGTGGTGTGTGAAATGATGTATCTTCTTTACCAACGACGATATCCTAAAGAGGGTGATCATATACTTCAACATCATCGTCATTGTCATCGATAGCAGAACCCTCAACATCATTAGCGGCAGCAGTATCTACAAATGATACAGGAATAGTATTATTAATAGAAAAATGAATTAGAGGTGAAGTATCACAACGTCGTAATCTTAATGCTGAGGTGAAAAATAAATGTATGAGCGATGATTATCAATCACATGAAGAGGTATCATATTTAATGTACTATGATTGAAATAATTTGTACGAGGCAGTCATAAGCTCTTCATTACCATATAGTTCTTTTCAATGGGCTACAACGGAAATCGATATTATGACAATGAATGATCATGATCCTCTAGGTTATATCCTTAAAGTTAACTTGAAATATCCCCAACGTTTATTCGAGAAACATAAAAATCTACTACATTGCCTTGTGCATTTTCGAGCACCCTATACAAAGCATTCTAAATTGATGACAACTTCACATGATAAAAGAAAATATATATTATTTACTCTAGAAATTTGAAACAATGTATTAAATTAGGATTAAAAGATACAGAAATACATACAGTTTTGAAATTTTGAAAAACGATTACATCTGATTAGTATCAAGAATGTTCAGTTAATTATAAGGAAATGTCTCGAATTGAGTATCATATGGATAATAAAAAACATGAAGTAAACATACGTTATCGATTAAAAACTAGCATTAAGCGCAGAGGACGATAAGTAAATGGTACAAAAAGGTAAACTGATACATTCTCAGGGGAATATATGAATGATAATATAACAATTACATTGAAAAAAAGGTAAGAAGAATAAACTGAAAGAAAAATATATTTTCATTTATAAAGACCATGTAATATAAAAAATTTTTACTTCATCATATTAGCCCCTTCAAGTTCTCCAGTAGTTGAAATCATTTCATTTGAATGAGTATTATTTCCTGCATTGGATGAAGCTATAAGTAGCCGCAATCGATCAACGAGCTCACTAGAATCATCACAATAAGTAAAATTTATTGGTTGCTTTTGTGTAGACATTTCGAATTGAGGTAAAAATTTTCTCATTCCAGTTGATAATCCACGACAGTAAAATGCTGCCACTTTGGTGGATCCTTCTTTTACTATTAATAACTATTATTTAATAATTAAAACATATACCTTGTCATTGTTATTCGATGATTTGTATGTAATTTACTGCGAAACACAAAATTTTTTAATATTTACTATTAAATGCACTTGGCGTGGTTTTGCTACAGGTCATTGATGCGATATCTAACGGTTGGCCATGGCAACATAGCTCGCAGGGGGTATACTGTAAAATAAGACTATTAGAAGCTGTGCACGGCCGTGTTTCCATATTTATGGCCACTACACGCAGTCTATGTATGCTCCAACTTCTTTTCAGTTGCAGGTGTTGCACTTGAGCAGTAAATTGTGCAAGTGAGAGTACAACAACACCACTAATAATAAATGTGTTGAAGAAATTCTTGTTTTCCGGTCCTGAGAAGGACATTTGATTTGAGTAACTCGCCTTATAGGGCATAACTGGGAGTAGCTCTACTTGTAGTAACGGCGTTACTTGAGACGTGAGATTCTTGCATTTTCAGAAAGGCACGAGGATACACGCATCTAACCCAAGGTCTTACGACATATCACTACGAGTCCAACCTCAATTGACGAAAAGCACCTGGTTCGACATATCGTTTTCCGACTTTGCAGACCCAGGTGTGATCTTGGATTTCGGTCGCCCGGAGTACTAGTTCTATCTGCTTTGGTCGACGGCCCCAGTTGTTCATGTTGTAAGGGAAAGCACCATTATATTGTCAACAGCTGAAAGAATATATCATTGATATTATGAAGTTTCGTAAAATATTTAAAAGTCTTCATTAGAGTTTATTGAATGCCTGAAAGTAAAAAAAAAAATTGAGTATAAAGCACCTATTCGTTTGATCTAAAGGCTACAGATGTTCTTTGAAGATTGCAGGCCTGCAATCTGTACCTTGGTGCTTTGACAACACCCAGGTGTGGATCAATGAAGTTCACGAACTATATTTTACGGCGCTGGTAATGACCTACTACTTCTACGGGGCGGAAGATTCTGTGTATTGGGTATTACTGCTCCCACTCGCGCTTTTCTTTTCTTTTCCATCACTCCCTCGTGGATTTGTCTAATTTCCTTGAACAATTTCTTTCCCGCGCACGCTTTGACTAATTGTTCGACTGCCTTACATGTGTCTTCTGTTTGGACAAATTTTAGCGCTATTCCAGTATGACGTATGACCGATATGAGATCATTACGTTTTTCTCGATATGCGGGACAGTGCAGTAGGAAGTGTTCCACTGCATCATTACCTTCTCTATTGCAATTAAGGCAAGTCGGGTCCATCTCGATGACATATTGTGCACGATGTGCCCAAAATATACTATGTTCTCTGAATATTGGCGTCATCAGGTTGCTTAAACGAATCCAATTATTGTCGAGTCTATCTGATATGTTTAGGAAAAAGTCAGACGTTTTCCAGCCTGTTTTGGACGCATCCCATTCTGGCTACTATATCTTGAGTGTTTGCAACCTGGGGTTCATCATCGGCGTCGACGATCCATCTGACGTCTCGTCGTTTTAGAAGATTCTAACATTGTTATGTAGTATTGCTTCATCGGTACGAAGTGTGTATCGCATTGAGATCACCGATCGCTATGCGTCTGGGCGAGACGCCTACCGCCACGCAAAGGCCATCAAACAAGTCTCAAGACGCCCCTCTGCGCAGCCGCAAGCATCAGCCAATCTTTAGCGTTTCCTAAATCGTTCCATGCCGGGGACGCATAAGTGACCACTGGCAAGGTGCACCCTCATTTCATAGTTAAGCAGGTGTGATAGTTAAGTTCCTAACGCATTCACGAAAGACGTCTTATCTTGGGCTTTTCCGCTTGCACCGGTTGATTATAAATATGAGTAGATATATTAAGATCTCTGCTAAACCAGACCCTCAAGTACCTAACTACCTCGGGGCACTCAATTTTATTGCTCTCTATAGTGATCTTCGGCGGTTTACAT